GCCCCCGGGGTGTGGGCGCGGGCCAGGCACTGACCTGCAGCTCGGTCTGGAAGAAGAACTTCTGGGGGCACTGCGTGCAGTCGTAGATCTTGTCCTCCTGCCCGTGCACCGCGAAGATGTGCTGCTGCAGCTTGTTGGCCTGGACGAAGACTGCACAGGGACAGGGCGTCAGCGCAGGGCGGGGACACCAGCCCTGGCCCCGAGGGCCGGTGTGGGCGCGGGCCAGGCACTGACCTGCAGCTCGGTCTGGAAGAAGAACTTCTGGGGGCACTGCGTGCAGTCGTAGATCTTGTCCTCCTGCCCGTGCACCGCGAAGATGTGCTGCTGCAGCTTGTTGGCCTGGACGAAGACTGCACAGGGACAGGGCGTCAGCGCAGGGCGGGGACACCAGCCCTGGCCCCGAGGGCCGCCCGCGCCACTCACAGGAGGAACCTCCCAGCCTGGACACAGCCGGCCGACAGGGGCTACTGGGGCTCACATCAGGGAAGCTGAGCTCTGCCGCCTACGGGCTGTGCAACCTTGGGCAAGTCACTTAACCTCTCTGGGCTCCGTGTCCTCGTCTGAAAAACGGGGACCTTTAAAGGGTGCAGCTCACGGAGCATCTGGGAGGCTCACCTGGGTTAACTGAAAAAATGCTTCAAAGATGGCCTGGCACGTAATGAGGCCAGTGAATGCCATCACCCGCCAGGTGCCTGCCACGCGTGGGCTCCTGGACCAAAGCGCAGGCCCGTAAGGCTGGCGCTGCCATTGTCCCATTTTACAGAAGGGAAAACTGAGGCACTGGGAATGTTCAGTGATGCGTCCCAGGCCCCACTGCTGGCGGGTGGCGGGGCCGAGACGAGTTTAACAGGCTTCGCACAGCGCCTGGGACAGGACGGGGCTGGAAACACCGATGGCTATGCTCATTGCTGAGGGTTGTCAGCATCCTGATCCCCACACAGAGGCCCCGTGTCCTGGACCAGCGGTCCTGGGGCCCCTCGGAGCCAGCCCCCACCCCAACCCACAGAGCGTGATGGAACAGAGGGGCGGGGCTCCTAGATGGAGGGGGCAGAAGACCTGAGGGTGTGAGGGTGCGGGCGTTCCCATGGCCGAGCCCCTTCCTCGGGCCTGTCACCAGGCGGGTCACCCACCCGCTTCCCGGTGGTGGGAGCCCAGGCGCGGGCAGCAGGAGGCGGCCCTGAAGCAGCTGTGTGTCTGGGAGGTGAGCACTTCAGAGGTGCCCCCCGCCAGGCGCCCTCCCCAGGGTGGGCTTCCTGCCTGGCAGACAGCAGATGTTGGGGGAGGCAGGGGGAGGCCAGGCTCCCCAGCGCACACCGGCTGCCATCTGGGCAGCGGAAGGGGGGCCGGCAGAGCCCCCGAGACCGGCCTGGGGCTGGGATGGACAGCCGCTTGCCTGGGCCGGCAGCCAGCCTGGGGGCTTGACCGGCAGAGCTGCCCTTGACCTCTCCAGCCCGGAGCATGGAGGGAACACGGGCTGAGCTGGGCGGGGAGGAGGCGCGGCCAGGAGAGCCACTGCTGCTGGACAGAGCGCAAGGTCACGGAGGCGAGGCTGGGGCCCATGCCTCCAAATCAGAGGGCGAGGCTGGGCCAGCGAGGACTCCCCGCAGCTGAGAGCTGGGCTGAGGGGAGGGCCAGGGAGGCAGCTACCCCACC